TATTTTAATACCTACTTCTATTTCTTTATAAACCATTCTTTCTTTCTTTCTTTCTTTCTTTCTTTCTTTTACAGTTTTGGAGTTTCTTTATTATCAAATTGTGTTAGCTTCTATCTGCATTCTATTATCTGCATACTATCTACTGTTTTAACAACTACTTTTATTTCTTTATGAATCTCTCTCTCTCTCTCTTTCTCTCTTTGTTCCTTTGTTTATTTCCTTCCTTCCTTCCTTCCTTCCTTCCTTCCTTCCTTCCTTCCTTCCTATCCATTTCTAGTATTTTAACAACAACTTCTATTCCTTTCTTTCTTTCTACTATTTTAATAACTACTTATTTCTTTGTAAACTTTTCTATGTACGTAGCAGGGCGCGTCCAAGCTCTGACTGTCTAAACTGGTAGATGGAACAACTACATTGAATCAATAGCTGCATCTACTGCAAGGAAAGTTGGTTCTCTGTGTCGTACCAGAAGGTTTTTCTCGTCTGAGTTCATCCTACAGATCTACAAATCTACCATTCTTCCTTGCATTGAATACTGTTGCCATATCTGGTCTGGTCTCTCTGCTGTTCATCTCGAGGTCTTCGACAAAATCCAAAGAAGGATCTGCAACGTAGTCGGACCTGACCTGGCATCTCGACTTCAGTCACATTCTCACAGACGTGACGTGGTTTCCCTCTGTCTTTTCTACAAATATTTTCATGGCTACTGCTCTGACGAGCTTTTTTTTCCTGGTGACCCGATTACATGAATTTAAGCGTACTACTAGACTGGCATATAAGTCCCATCCTTTTACTGCTGAAGTAGTTAAATGTTACCGCCACTTCTACTCTGTAGAATAACAATAGAATAACAATAGAATAACAACACTTACTGGCGTAAGGGTCCCAGCTAGCGTCCAGCTGGCAGACAAAAATAAAGCAGGCTGTAACTCAATACAAACCCCGCAATCAAGCTGGTATTTATACAGAAATACCTCCACTCATGTACCAGCAGACAATCACAGCCCAAGCAATGGACTATCCCACTTGAGCACAATGAGATGCTCCATGGCATCATAAATAGCTCTCTTTCTCAAGATGGAGGGGTCTTTTCTCAGCTTGTTCCACAACTGAGTGTTTATCTTGACTACGTGATTGTTTTACATACTCGAACAGCTTCTTCTTTAGCACTTCCCGACAGTGGAACTCTATTCCTCTTACTTGATTGCCTGATAACTACAATCCTCAAAAATTTAGATGCAACGTCAATCGTCATCTGATGCCTTGGCCCTCGTTCTTCGTTTTACCCCTTCCTCAACCCCCCTGTGTACTAATGGCACACCCGCCTTGCTTGGGGTGAAATGCTTATAAAAAACAAAACAAGAAATATTGCTCGTCTGGACATTAGACATGAAAATAACGATAGTTACTAACATAGGCTAAGTTCTGTTTGCAAAACAGTTTTATGGAAGGCGCTCTTGAATAAAAGTATGGCCGCGCCAAGAGAAGGTGAAGAAGATATTAAAAATCGACCAGGAACAAACAATCTTGTAGATCTATTATGAACGGATATCAAAACTTAAACAAAACGTTGTATATATTCCTGGGTGCAGCCCAAGTAAAAGCCGTGCTTTTGATTGCAATTTTTACAAAGTAGTTACGCATGTAGACCATCTGCTATTGAGAGAATTCTAGCCAGAATGGAAAAAAATACAGAATACACAGTAATGTACAATAAAAATGTTTGGAATACATAAAAAGATTTACAGAAAATGAAAAAAAAAAAAATACGGTGACAAAGAGAGGCAAAAAAGAAAGAAAGAAAGAAAGAAATAGGTTAAGAAGTACCACAAAGGATGAAAAAAGAAAGAAAAAAAGAGTCAACAAAGGAAGAAATGACAGTCAAAAAGGAGGTTATAAAAAAGAGAGAGGTTTATAAAGAAAAAGAAAAAAAGACGCTACACACTATGAAAGAATAAGATGGAGAGTGGTTTATGAAGAAAGTAAAACAGAAAGGAAAAGATTAAAAAAGAAGAGAGAAAGACAAAAAGAAAAAGGTTTACAAAGAAAGAAAGAAAGAAAATAAAAGAAGATGTGTTAGAAAGAAAGAATAAAGAAAATAAAAAAGAGTCAACAAAGAAAGAAAGAAAGAAAGTAAAAAGGAATATATAAAGAAAAAAAAGAAGCTACAAAGAAAGAAAGAAAGAAAGAAAGAAAAAAGAAAGAAAAAAAGAAAATGTAAGGATAAAAGAAGGCTACAAAGAAAGAAAAGAAGGAAATAAATAATTACATAAATAAATAAAGAATAAATAAAGAAAAAGAAGTTTAAAAAAGGGAAGGATAAAAGAAGGCTACACAGAAAGAAGGAAATACAGAAAGAAAGAAAGAATAAAGAAAGTAAGACGTTTACAAAAGAAAACGATAAAAGAAGGCTACAAAGAAAGAAAGAAAGAAAGAAAAAGAAATAAAGAAAAAAAGAAAGAAAATGAAGTTTACAAAAGGAAAGGATAAACGAAGGACAGACAGAAAGAAGGAAAGAAAGAAAAACAGTAAGAAAGAAAGGAAAAAGAACGAAAGCTGTTTACAAAAGAGAACGGTAAAAGAAGGCTAGAAAGAAAGAAAGAAAGAATGAAAGAAAGAAAGGAAAAACAAAGAAAGAAAGAAAACTACAACATATTAATAAAGAAGTTTGTAAAAGATAAAAAAAGGCTACAAAGAAAGAAAAATGAAAGAAGATGACAAAGAAAAAGAAGAAAGATAAAAAAAAGAGAAGGTTACTTAGTCATATTCAGTTAATACTTTCCTCGTTTCCATCGAACCCAATGTTTGAATTCACAATCATGATCTCGCCCGACTCCCGAACCAACATTTTAACCAACTGGAATATTTTTAGAACAAGACAAAGTCTCTCTAGACATGGTCAGCTGCAGTAAAGGAATCTCCTCCACGAAGATTAAATAAAGTGTTCAGTGTGAAATTCCCTGAAGGTTACGCGGATCGGAAAGCATCTGATGAAGGCCGGAGAGCACAACGGCTGAAAAGTTGCGCCACCCGACTACGATACAAAGAAAACCAGAAGGGGTAGGCGAACTCCTACAATACAGCTACCCGGAGCCAGTGTCGAGTGGTTGGCTTGAGTTTGGGCGTTCGTGTTGTACGTTGCGTTATGGCGATCAGATGTCGGCGCTATGTCAGCTTCCTTTATTCGGACCGGGAACGTTCAGAGGGCGTTGGCTGACGTACGCCTTCAGTTTTTTTGGACGTAAGTAGATTCTGCAGATGTGGGTAATATACCGCGTGTAAATATTGGCAGACACAATGTTAACATGATCTGCAGACGATACTGTGATGACGGCAGATACAATGAAAACTTCAGGAACCACTAGACGAGGTAAAAAAAGAAAGCAAGAACATAATCCCCAATAGTACGAAGATAGAATGTATGGTAGGCAGCAAGAGGAACAGTTCAAGATGCGAGTTAAGAATTGGAAATGTCAGAACCTAGCAATGGCGAAAATTTAAAGATGCGCGAAGTGTTTTAACAGCGGAAGGAAAATATGGCATCGAAAACCGAAGTTGCATTGGAATCGCTGAAGTTACCTTCGTAAAGATAAGCAAATTATTAAGAAACAGGAACGCTTCGTGAGAAACAAAGAAAATAAGTGTGCTAAACTGCTATGTAATATCAGTGATCCTAGATGCTGGACAATTTCCTCACAGATGAAGAGAAGATTTGAGGCAATAGAAACAATGAAAAGAGTACTGAACTGATATGTAATATCAATCCTCCTATATGGCAGTGAATGCTGGACAATTTCCTCGCAGATGAAGAGAAGACTTGAGGCAACAGAAACAATGAAAAAAGTACTGAACTGCTATGTAATATCAATCCTCCTATATGGCAGTGAATCCTGGACAATTTCCTCACATATGAAGAGAAGACATGAGGCAACAGAAACAATGAAAAGATTACTGAACTGCTATGTAATATCAACCCTCCTATATGGCAGTGAATGCTGGACAATTTCCTCACCGATGAAGAGAAGACTTGAGGCAAGAGAAACAATGAAAAGATTACTGAACTGCTATGTAATATCAATCCTCCTATATGACAGTGAATGCTGGACAATTATCTCACAGATGAAGAAAAGACTAGAGGCAACAGAAACAATGAAAAGTTTACTGAACTGCTATGTAATATCAATCCTCCTAGATGGCAGTGAATGCTGGACAATTTCCTCACAGATGAAGAGAAGACTTGAGGCAACAGAAACAATGAAAAGAGTACTGAAATGCTATGTAATATCCATCCACCTATATGGCAGTGAATCCTGGACAATTTCCTCACAGATGAAGAGAAGACTTGGGGCAACAGAAACAATGAAAAGTGTGCTGAACTGCTATATAATATCAATCCACCTATATGGCAGTGAATGATGGACAATTTCCTCACAGATGAAGAAAGACTTGAGGCAACAGAAACAATGAAAAAGATTGCTGAACTGCTATGTAATATCAATCCTCCTATATGGCAGTGAATGCTGGACAATTTCCTCACAGATGAAGAGAAGACTTGAGGCTAGAGAAACAATGAAAAGAGTACTGAAATGCTATGTAATATCCATCCACCTATATGGCAGTGAATCCTGGACAATTTCCTCACCGATGAAGAGAAGACTTGAGGCAACTGAAACAATGAAAAGAGTACTGAACTGCTATGTAATATCAATCCTCCTATATGGCAGTGAATGCTGGACAATTTCCTCACAGATGAAGAGAAGACTTGAGGCAACAGAAACAATGAAAAGAGTACTGAAATGCTATGTAATATCCATCCACCTATATGGCAGTGAATCCTGGACAATTTCCTCACAGATGAAGAGAAGACTTGGGGCAACAGAAACAATGAAAAGTGTGCTGAACTGCTATATAATATCAATCCACCTATATGGCAGTGAATGCTGGACAATTTCCTCACAGATGAAGAGAAGACTTGAGGCAACAGAAACAATGAAAAGATT